CGGAGCGGGGGGTCAGTGGAGGTCCCCCCCATAGTCTCCTCCCCGCTTCTCCAGCCCCCTCAACCCCTTACTTACGGCACTGGAGCTCTGGTGCTGAAGCAGCTGCTTCAGCCCCAGAGCAAGCAGCCAACCATAGAGACACTCTGGCAGCCAGAGCATCTCTGTGGAGGACCCAGCCTCCAGTTGCCTCAGGGCACAGTCCAGGACCGTGTCCTGCCCTGCCTTTTTCAACTTAGTTTCTTTTAGACCCCTGGATATGGTCTAATTTTCTCCCTGTGCTGCAAGTTTGCAGTGCAGGGAACATTTTTTCATTCCCACATGTGCCTCTTGCCCCGTCTCAAAGGGGTTTGAGATGGGGCAAGAGGCACGTGCGCGCTCGTCTGGACATGCCCCTAGAGGCATGTCTGGTGTTTGCTGTTGTAGAATCTAAGCACTGTAATAACTGGTTTAGATTCCTCATCATGATGTGCTTCCCATATATATTGTTTATTATTGTGTAGTGAAGTTTAGATTGCTGCATTTTCCCCACTTCACCACAAAACTTACCATGCCCATAACTTTCGCGCTCCTTTATCTATACTAGTAGTTGATTGCATAGCTTGCTGAGATCTATCTGTATGCCTTGATTCATTCATTTTTTTCCCAAATATGTTATTTCTCTGACTCTCAATTTGCATTTTTGCCTACTGAGTTTTAACTCTGTCGACTGAGCCTTTTCCAGAGCTCTCTCAGGCCTCTGACCATGTTCCTCTAGTGTAAGTCCCCATATTAAAATATCATCTATGTACACTTTGGCACCTTCTATGTTATCAAAGACTTATGAAAATTGTCTGATTCTGAACATAATCCAAAAGACAATCTGTGAAAGCAGAATCTTCCATATGGAGTGTTGAACGTGCACAAGTGTCTGCAATTTTTTTCTAATGAAACCTGCCAATACCCAACTGAGGCATCTATATGCTGTTTGTGCTATCTCTCCAAAGTTTTCTTCCCTAGTGGGAATGAGAAAATGTTCCTGTTTTACATCTTTATGTAGTTCTTTTGGGTCTAGACAAAGTGTTCCATCTTTTTATTACACTATTACTAAAGAATGAAACCACTCTTGTAGGTTCCTTTATTTTCTTAATAACATCCTGAGCAACTGTTTTCTATAGTTTTGCTTTCTGGCTTTGTCTTAGAGCTGAAGGGCATTTATACACATACTTTATTTCCTGCGACGTGCTGTAGATCTGCTGCTAATCGAGTCTGTTCTGCATGCAAGCTGAGGCGAACTGTGCTGTGCCACGTGCAGTTGTATAAGCCGCAAAATGCGGGTCAGTGCACAGAAAATGGTGGTGGTGCGCTTTTGAACTAAAACGCCTCCGAGGTGCTTTAGTTCAAAAGCGCTCTGCCACCATTTTCTCAGTGCTGACATGCATTTCACTGTTTATACAACTGCACGTGTTGCAGTGCTGGTGCTTTTCAAAGTACCCGGTGCTATGGTGCTTTACACGTATAAAAATGCCCAAAGGCATTTTTCTGTGAGCATGTATTAACCGAGTATAGGGTTCAGACAGCTCAATCTTATATTTTTTTGTGCAGCTT